CTTTCAATTATATATATATATATATGTAAGTATATATATTTGTTTATATATATGCATGTTATGCTTTGTTATATATTTCTTGCGTACGCATTTGTTTGCTTCATATATTTCATTTATTTGTGTTATTTTGTTGTTGTTGTATTTGTTTTGTTTATATATGTAGGTATAATTTGGTATTCATAATCATATGATGACATATCACTGCATGACACATTTTCCCTCTATTTGAGTTTTTAGCTCATTTACTTGCGTTTCTATTTGATTTTTCAGTTCTGTAAGAAGAAATTGAGTAATGGAAACAGCAATAAATAAGCGTGTTATTGTAGGATAGACTACAATAGTACATAAAGACACAAAAAAAAAAAAAAAAAAAAAAAAAAAAAAAAACAGAACAATTACATTTCTTTAGTTTGAACATTTAATATTGTTGTTGTTTTGGAGTTAGTAGTAAAGTAGTTTACTGTGTTCATTTCATTTCTTTAAAAATACTTTTTATTTTCATTATTTATTTTCTCTGTTGATAGTGTGTGGTGTACTTTTAGACATTTACACAATAGTAGAGTAGTAGTTGTGTCAATAGAGCACATCAAGAAAGTATATATAGAGTTTCGAAATTGTTCCTTGCTGGTCCATGCACGCAACGCATTCACGCATCAAATCGTATACCGTGATGTTTGTTGTTATTTTTTTTTTTGTTTTGGTATAAAGCCGGTTGGCCCACCGCCGGTGGCCTATGGCTGGCGCAAATGTTTTGTGTGCATGGTATATACGTATACATATACATATATACATACATATATTGAGAGAGAGTGCAAAGTGAGTGTTACATAGCAAAAGTAGTAGCAATAGTACTAGATAGTAAGTAGTTAGTATACTGAGGGAGTAGCGATAGTGAAGAGTACACACACATGTTGCAAGAGGGAAAAAGCTCAGTTGCTGTATTTTTTTCGTTATGATGAAATTTTTTATGTGTAAATATTTAGTATTGAAATTTATATTTACTTAATAAAATTAGTGTTTTATAGATAGCAAGTTATATTATAAATTGGTTTTTTGTTTTCATTATAAGTACAGTACTAAAATATTGTTTGTGAGGGTAGGTTGTTGATTGAGGAAGTGTACAAAAATTAAGTGCATTCAAAAAGTAGGAAGAAATTTAAAATTCAGTCAAAATTATTTTAAGAAAACGTATTGTTGATAACGTTTTTTGTGTTTTTGTTAGCGAGACTAAGTTCTAAAGTATATTTTTTTAAAAATATATGAGAAAACGCTATAAATAATAAAAAGTTTCCGTGATAATTGTTTAATTAAATTACTGAAAACTAGCATAAAAATGGTAATAAAAAAATCATAATTTTCCTCAGAATTTTCTAACAAATTTGTTGTAGATATTTATTATTTTTTTAAATTAAAATACTGAAAGCCAAACGGTTATAAAAGAATTCGCTAACATATTTGGCTTTAAATATTTATATATTTCAATATGGTTTTAAATATTTATTAAATTTTTTTTTAGAATTTCGAAAACTGTTAAATCCCTTCGCGCTTTACTTCGTGGAAATTTCGCTTCAACTCTCCTAAACTTAAATGCAGCCTCATATTCTGTACAATTTCACATTCATATTTGTTTTAATGGTTTTTTTTTTTTAATTTGGGCTTCGTAAAGCACCAACTGACTTTCTTTTGTTTCTAAGTTTTTGATATATAT